GCCACGCATGCCAGCTCAGCATTCTTACTCCTTTTCCATGACAAAGCATTGCAATTTTCCTTGCAAGTCGTGGCATGAGCGAGGCACTCTTTTCCTTTTTTGGTTTTTTTTGTAAAAAAAGAAAAAAGTTTTTTTATTTTATTGAGATTAGAGGCACTGTTTTACATTTTTAACCCTTTCTTTTTTCTGTACAATTTATTTTCTTTTTCAAAACAATCTAACCTTTATTTGAGACTAAAAAATATATATTTTTAAACATTAATGTTTTATGTGAAATTATATAATTTAAATTTAAAAATATTAAAATTTAATTTTCTCTTTGCACAATTAAAACTTTACAAGAAAATGCAATAATTTATAATAAAAAAGCACGCATTAGCTAATTAAAATATGTCAAAAATGTTAACGTTGCCAAAAAAGATTACAAATTTTTTATTAAAATAAGGTAAGTAAAATAATTTGTGAAATTAAAATATATTAAAAAGGTATAAAAATGATAATAATGGTGACTTGCCACTACATGACATGTCACTCTACTCATGTACCACACGCTGACTGGACAGATTTTGATTGGCTAAAATACTCTACGTTATCGTGTGGCATTCCATTTCTTAATTACTTGTCATTGCCCATGCTCTTACAATATGTTTGGTTCAAGTATTTTGGAAGGAAAAGAAAAGAAAATGATTTTCTCTCATTTCCTCACAAAAATGGGAGGATTTTGGTTTTCCCTCCGGTTAGTATATTTGTCTTCTCATTTTCTTTTTCTTCCACTTTTCCTTTCCAACCAAACATGAAAAACTGTTTTCCAATTCATTTTCTTTTCTTTTCCCTTTCAAATTTCTTGAATCTTAATGTCACTAAAGGCAATATCAAACGAGTATTAATTTTTGTTTAAAGCTTTGCACAAAGTCATATGGCTACAATTCTTATCGAAACACTATGAATATAATTCCAATGATCAGTTGACCACTTTTAAATAATTTCACATGGCTTTGCTACTCAAAATGTATAAAGACGTTAATACAAACAATGATAAGATCATGTAGCTCTTTCTTTCTTCTTTTAACTTTAGAATTCGAATTTAGTAGAGAGTGGCTTCATTGATATAGTGAAAGTTTACAGTAATGACCAAAATTCAAAACTCAAATTGTCTTGCAACGTCGACAGGCTGCGAATAGATCTTGTCTAGATCACAGCCGACTCAGAGGAGAGCATACACGAGCAGTGCCTCAGGGCAGTGGGTATACCCGTAATGCCGACCGGCGTTATGCCGGTTTTTGTTGGGAAATAAACACACAACACTCACAAATAATCTGCGAGAAACGAGAAAAACGAAACACGGACGACACACAAGAATTTAACGTGGTTTGGTTTCCCTAATCCACGGCTGCAACAGGAGGATTTTTATTTCACTTGTGGTGTCTCACGGAATTACAAGTACAAGCTGTGCATATATAGGAAAACACCTAGGGTTACGAAACTTGTTCCCCAAGAAACAAGAGACAAACGGGCTAAAAATAAGATGGGCCGATCCAAGTCGGGCCCAAACGTATCTAGCATCCACAAAACCCAACATTCTCCCACTTGGAGGCTTGATAATCATCAAGTGCCATCCGCCACGATCGCCTGTGCATCGAGTAATCTTCCTTAGCTCTCCTGTTGCAGCGGCCCTCTCATCAGACAACTGAAAGGCCCGTTGAAGCTCTCCCAAGCTCCAACACATCAGTCATGGCTAAATCTGCCACTGACTCGTCCTCGGTCCCTACCGGCTCCCACTACAGATGCACACCGCCGGATCCTGGAACATCCTGAGAACAAACACTCTCCGTACTCAGCAAAAAATTTTCTGGAGATGTTCCAACAGCTGAAATACTGGTTCTCCTAACCCACTGTCTTCTAGGCAACTTGGCTGAATCGCCTCTTGAGCTCCCACTGCCATATATACCTCTGACTGGCCTCCTTGAACCTTTCCTCGCTCGTTCATCCTGAGTCTGACTAGTGGCTCTAGGTTTCTTTCTTGCACAGACAACCTTATTCTGCCCACGAGACTCTGTGAACCGGACTTTGTTTCTCTTCTGAACTGGGGCGGTCACTCCCTCAGATGGTAACTCGACCATATACAACGAACCACTCTTCCTTCTGCGGGCCATGACAAGATTTCCCTTCACAACCTTCCACTGCCCATCTCTGAACTTCACCTCGTGTCCCTGTTCGTCCAACTGCCTGACAGAAATCAAACTTTTCTTCAAGGCTGGAACCACTCTGACATCCTTCAAAGTCCTAAGACCGACTGAGGTCTTCAACACCATGTCACCCATGCCCGTCACCTCAAGAGCTCTATCGCCTGCAACTCGTACCTTTCCAAAGTCTCCGATAACCAGATTCTGCAATGCTTCAATGCTGTGGGTGGCATGAAATGAAGCACCAGAATCCATGACCCAAGAATACACATTGCTTTCCTCACACCAAGTCAGAGTGACCTCCTCGTCACTCGCAGAGCCTTCAGCAATGTTCACTTTCTTATCATTCGGGCATTGATTCCTAAAATCCCCCACCTCCTTGCACTTCCAGCACGTTACACCTGAGCTATCCCGAGTCTTTGACTGACTCCTACGTCTGTTCCTGCTCCCACTACCTTTTCTATTTCTTCTGCCTCTACCAACATGAAGCAATTCACCAGATGACTCTCCAGAACTCTTTCTTCTGACATCCTCGCCAAGAACGAGATCTCGAATCTGATCAAAGGTGAATCCATCAGGTCCCACTGAACCGGTAACCGCTGTAACCGTTCCGGACCAACTATCAGGTAAAGACAATAGCAGTAGCAAAGCTTGAACTTCATCCTCGAACTTAATGCCCACTGACAAAAGTCTAGCTAAGATTGAATTCAGCTTATTAATATGCTCGGTAACTGAAGTGCCTTCTTTCATTTTTGTGTTCACCAGCTCTCTGATCAGAAAAACTTTGTTCGTTGCAGATGGCTTCTCGTACATGTTAGACAGCGATTCCATAATTCCCTTCGCTGTCTTCTCCTTCAGAATGTTGAACGCAACATTCTTGGTCAAGGAGAGACGGATCACGGACATAGCTTTCCAATCCAAACCTGCCCAATCTACATCCGACATCTTTTCTGGCTTGTCACCTAAAACCACGTCCAAATCTTTCTGAACCAGCAAATCTTCAATTTGCATCTTCCACCAACTGAAATCTGTACCATCGAACTTCTCAATTCGGAACTTCCCGTCTTCTGTCATCTCAAACGACTTGACGAGATACCCGGTACAACTAATTTCAGATCTTGGTATTTTTTTCGTCAGAAAATCAGGTCCACCACTTTAATTAATTTAGCCCAAACCAAAACAAGACCAAAAACAGTAGGTAAATGGCTGACCAATTAAAATACAAATTGGCCCACTATTTTTTTCTTTCTTCGCTGCTGCGCCCCAAAATTTCAGCTCCTTGGATCGGCAGTCCTAGAGCGTCTGCGCGGCGGCAATGGACGGCGGCGTAGGAACAGTGGCTGCTCGACGTGGCTGACGGGCGACGGCATCTACACTCTCAGATCTCGGTGCGGCGGTCTGTCTGCAAACGGCGGAAACACGCAGCAGCGACGTCAGCGATCTTCCTCGATTAGTCTCCTGATTTTCTTCTTCACCTTGATTAGTCTCTTGAGGTATCTCCCCAGTTTGCGGCTGTGTGTTGATGTATATTCCCGTGTTGTCTTCATCGTCATCAACGTGTATTCTCTCTAATGAATCTGCAAGATCATCACAAATATCCTTTCTCGCCAAGCGAGGATTATCTTCGGAAAATACAATGTGAGGAGACTCCTCAATAGTCAAGGTACGTTTATAGGCCTTGCTACGTAGTGAGTAACCCAGAAAAATTCCTTCATCCGACTTTGCATCAAATTTGCCTAAGTTGTCTTTGCCATTGTTATGAATAAAACATTTGCAACCAAAGACTCGAAGATGGGAAAGGTTTGGCTTTCTCCCTTTGTATAGTTCATAGGGCGTTTTCATGAGTATCGGTCGAATGACGGCTTGGTTTAACACGTAGCTCGCGGTACTCACGGCATCCGCCCAAAAATACTTAGGGATTTTTGCCTCATTGATCATAGTTCTAGCCATCTCTTCGAGACATCTATTTTTACGTTCCACCACTCCATTTTGTTGTGGTGTACGTGGGGCTGAGAAGTTATGATCAATGCCAAGTTCGTCACACAAATCTGAGAACAAATTTCGTTCGAACTCTCCCCCATGGTCGCTTCTTATGGCTACTATGGTTGTTTCTTTTTCATTTTGAACTTTCTTTA